CAATGAACGTTCAGTGTTGTCGGTGTGAACTCATCTTTATCCTTTTCTCTAAAGGGGAAGCGGTTGCTTCTTGTGTCCTGGGGTTAGCTTCTCACTTAGCTCCGATGCTAACCATTCTCCCTGCGGCTGTTGTTGCTCTTTAAACGGAGAGAAACCGCTGTTAACAGTCGACTGAAACGGTTGTGATTGCTTTTAATGAGATAAAATATCAAGACAAACTCAATAAAGAGCAAAAAAAGCACAAACTTTTTAATCGATCTCCCCCACCTCTTCTCTTCTTCTTCGCTTCCAGCCTGCAGATGGACGCAACACCGCCACCTGTTGGACTCTAGTGTGTAGTACAACTGATGGGGGAATAAACAAGACATCCGAAAAGGTTTGTAAATTCTGTCTTTTAAAAATCAGTGTTGTTGGTATCTTGTAAGAATGAAGTCTTATTTACAAAATTTATATATATTAGTCATGCTGTGCTGCTAAAATATTTGTAGCACAGTTGATTGACACCAAATTGGCTTGACTTCGTAAATGTGAGGTTGGTTGACCTTTGATTACCTGTTAAAACATTTAATATCTTTAAAATGAGAGCAGCACAAGCACATATTTTGCTACACAAACATAGCACAGTTGATTAACACCATATTTCATTGGATTTTGTAAATGTGATGGGGTGGTTGACCTTTGACCTATGGCAAATGTTTTAACATAAAGACACAAGAAGACCGAACAAGCTCAAAAACCTTAAAAATAATAAAGTCTGAGTTTGTGTTATCGTTTATTCTTTTCCTCTGTGGCTGTTAGATTAGTCGTGTGTTTTATCTGAAATCTTGTAAATCATTTTCATGTTTTATGCAGAAGCATATAAAGCATGTATAAAAGTATTCACCCCTTTGGATGTTTTACCCTTTTTATTGTTTTAACAAATCAACCTTAAGCAACAAAATTGAGCCTTTTTAACAGAAATTTAAAAAAGAAAAGCCTTTGATGTCAAAGTGAAGACAGATTTCTACAAAAGAATGACAAATACAAACATGCAGCATAAAATAAGTGGTTGAATAAATATTCACCCCATTTGACTCAATTTTTAGATGCACATTTGTTTGGAATCAGAAAGTTTGTGTGGAAAAGTTTAGACATCTGGACGCTGCATTTTCCCCCATTTTTCCTAACAAAACGGCTGAAGCTTCTCAATAAGATTTTCTCTGCTTGGTCGTTCTTTAATATTCATCCAGTAGCCAGGAATACTGATGAACCGGTGAATGGACCTTCCAGACAGACGAGTTATTTTACAGACTCACTGGACTCAAGTGATCCAAGATCCAGAAACTAGAAACACCAAAGGGAATGAATATTTATGCAATCAATTATTTTTTATTAACCATTATTGAATTGTAATTATTTTTGCAGAAATCAATATTCACTT